TTTACTCAAGTCACTAATATATTTTTTTAATGTCACATCTAGTTTGAGAATGGAAGTGAAAGCAGTCACTGCTGTCTTGAGAATCAGCTGTATACACATGCCTTGATTGTAACTGACTCACAGAGCATGTTGAGAAAGATGGAGACAGTCATGCTCCGAGCAGAGTGGCAAGCATCACTTCAGAGGTCCAGGGTAGTTGGCGTCCTTTGGTGTATAACAAGCTAGATGTGAGGGCCCAATATGAGCGAGTGAATAGTGCAGAGGCATAAATAAATCATTACAGTCTGAGGAGAATAGCGTTGCGGGGAGTTACAAGGGGATCAGACTGATGCTCAGCACTAAAGTGAAGACCGAGACGAATATACGATCAGACAGTTACTGGTACCATCCGAATTGGAACTCTTAGCTCACTGCTGAAGATGGGGATGGAATGCTTATGGGTATTCCCGAGTGATTTGATGTTGATTCTTTATTCATCATTGAACTAATAAATGTTTAAACATTTTTAATGGGTCCTTAGTAAAATTTAATGGAGCAGTGAATTCAGTGAAATACATTCCTTATGCCTTTCAAATAAAATTATATAGTGACTAATACTATGACCCTATTGCAGTGGAACTGCTGTAGGCTAAAGGGTGAATTATTACTTAGAAAATCAATTTTATTTTTAGTATAAACTCATAGTAGTTGAAGAAAGAAGAGATAGAAGGACAAACAAACAAATGTGGCTATTATGGCTATATATATATATATATATATATATATATATATATATATATATATATATATATATATATATATATATTTTTTTTTTTTTTTTTTTTTTTTTTTTTAAATGGCTGTAGTCTCAATGCATGGCATCGATTGCCGGAGGTTTAGGCTCTGGTGATGGCTAGGATTTTTTTCACGTGCACTTCTAGTAATTTCTGCTGGTCTCTGGGTGGTAGGATCGGACGCCCATGTGTAACCATGTCAGAAAGCGAGCCATGACCCCCACCACCCAAAAATATGCGCACACACACACACACACACACACACTCAGACAGACAGATCGTAATGGCACATGATAATAGTGTTCAAGGCTTGCATCATTGTCACATTTGACTGCTTGAAAGTACAAACTTAGAATACTGAATGCTAATGTCAGAACAAAGGGAAGAAGTCAACTGAAACAGAAGGTAATCTTTATTTCCTTGTCACTTGTATCCTAATGCTTGTTTACAGTATTCATTTTCTTCATTTCTAGTTGTTTTGCTCATATAAAGAAATAAAACATGGATAATCTATCTGGCGTGTATCCCCGTATATAAGCAGCCTTTAAAAGAGTCATCATAGAAGGGCCAAAGCTGTTGGTGTTATACAATTTAGCAAACTATTATCATTGAACACAAATAAGTGTACAAGAAAACATTGGGTCATAATTTAACAATCAGAAAGTAAGAAAGTAAATTTTACTCCATTAGGACATCACACAAAGCGATAAACACATGGTGACACAAAGTGCCATCATGCGGATGAGAATTACCCGTGGAGAGGCTCCAGAAACCGCGTTCAATAGTCAGGCTATATTGCGGCCCCCAGCAAAAGCCAGGATGGGGCTTCAAAATAACAAAAAATTAAACTAGATGGCTGGGACTCACGAGCAGCAGCTACCGCATCTCCTGCAGCTATCTTCATTTTATTTGCTCGTGAGTCCCAGCAATCTAGTTTAGCCCCAATCCACGCTGCTAAGCGCGGCGTGGGAAATGCTCTAGACAGTGGCGGAAGTCCGCAATTTACATGTGACTGAGGCCCTGTTGGGGTATATTTTCGGCCTCGATCATTTGGGACCTTCATTGGGAAGATAGCTTATAGACAAATTGGCACTGGGTGGGTGATGTGGTCAACATCACGCCGGTCGCCTTTACTTCCCAGGATTTACCTGCAATCAATTTAAGGATGGGTCGACTTAGAAAACAATGTAATTTTTTTTAAGGAAAAAAAATTCCGGCTTCGTCAGGACCTGAATCCACTACGATCAGATCCACAGATCCAGCATCTAGCCGCTACACCACGGCTACTCCCGTAATCCTACAGTACACCTTGTTAACACGAATTCCAAGAGTTTGTATTTTTAACAATCCGTGCTTACCAGGGACAAATAAATGTATTATAAATAGCATCCCTACAGGGAACAACATTTTATTCTTGGTAACGGAGTGTTTGTCGTGAATTCATGTTGAATAGGTTTTACTGTATTTGAAAACTGTTCACACAGGTTGAAATTTTTGTTTGTTTAATAGTCCATGCTGTCTAGTATTCTTAGTGTGTGTGTGTGTTGTCTGTCCATCAAGATAATGATGACCACTCTTTTTCATCAAGTGTGAGTATGAAGGTGACTGATGAGGCCGATGCGGGTCCGAAAATTTCTTGGGCTGTGAGGACAGAATTTGAGTGTTGTGCCAGGGAGGGGATCACTTGCAGTCACCTTTCTGTCCATCCTTTTCTTAATCAGTCTTGCTGTTCTGATTGTTTCACATGTCGCGCCTCTGTGTAGAGCTGCACGCCATGCATTTCGGTCTTGAGAGGCAGCCTCCCTATCCCAAATGCTTTGAGTGAAGACTTTAAGGTGTCCTTCAAGCGTTTCTTTTGCCTGCCTTAGAAACGTTTCCCATTTTGCAGCTCACCATAGAAGAGTTTTTTGGGGAGCATGGGATCTGGCATGCGTGCCACATGACCAGCTCAACGACTTTGATACTGCACCAGTAGAGTGTGGATACTGGGCATGGCTGCTTTCTCAAGGACTACGGTATCAGGTACTTTGTCTTGCCATCTGATCTGCATTTGTTTTCTAAGGCAGACTGTGTAAAAGTGAGTATTGTTAGTAACCATTACGTACTAGAGCTGATAGACTGGTAGATTCCGTATTAATTGCAGATGGTCAACGTATGGATCACGCTGACATTGTCAATGCCCTTAGAGAGATAGGAGGTTCCGAGAATTTTTGGAAACAATGTGTCCACATCACTGCTAAGAATACGCGAATTAGGAGTTAAGATCGGCACAGCCAAGCACGAGAAACATAACAGACACACACGAAGTCTTGTCAACCAGTATAGGACTAACACTATTAACCGCACGACGCTGATGAATATGTTGAAGGGAGAATCTGAGCACTTCTAGATGTGTCCGGAGTGCTGTGAAGAGAATCCATCTCATAATTGTATTTCGTTAACCTGACCTGATGATAAATAGTCATCTTCTGTGGCCTTTTGTTTTATGTATTATCCATCTGCTTCCATTACAGATTGTTCTCTATACCGGGGAATCAAGATCTCTAGCATCATGTTCGGCGCTTGCGTCTCTGTTGTCTCTCCTTTGGCTTTCTTATTGTCCAGTTTATCCTCTTTTTTTAAATATATTTTTAAAAAGTGAATTATGATGCAAGTGAGGACTCGGAGTTGTGATGTGACAGAAGATTTATTAAAGTTCCATAGACATCCAGAACGAGTAATCCTTTTTCTTCCTTTTCTTCTTTCCTCTACTCCTGGAATTGCTCGCAGAGTCGTGTAGGAAGAGATCTCTCAAACGTGTCCTTTTGTTCGCTTCGTATAAAATAATCCTGAAGTAATCCAGATGTCTTAACAAATATCTGAAGGATACTTTTCTTGGGCCACTTTATGGGAAGAAAGAAACGACACAAAAGAAACTGGAACTTGTTGGCAGTAATGGAAAGATTTATGGAAAAGGAGATAGAGATGAACAACGCAAGCAGCTTCGCAAGTAGTGGAGAGGCAATATCGCCCGCGCCAGTAGTAAAAGTACTTGACTATACAAATAACTAAATCTCTTATCATTTCATTCAGAACTTTATTATTTGACCTAACACTGTGAACATTTTTGTTTGCCTCTAAAAAAACAGAATGTTCTTTTTTTTTTTTTTTTTTTTTTTAATAATGCTACATATTATCCCCCTTATGTGCTCAGCTTGCTCGAATGCAGCCATCTTATATGGACAAACACCATTTTAATTTTATTCCGAAAAAGCGATTGAAGAACATAAGCCGTATGATTTGGCTGGTGGTACCAATGGTGATTGAATTTGGCTTCTTTAGCTTTATTGTGCATGTTCAGGGCGCGTCACACAAAAAGCAAACTCCCCAGCTCCGGCAACGATTCCCAAGGAATCTCCGTAAAAATTGCACTCAAGAACAACGATGCAGCCGTCAACTGAACCCACGACCTTCAGAACGCGAGGCAAACGGTTTGATCACTTCAGTCATACACACACACACACACACACACAAAGCAACATGCTGGCTTCAGTTGAAAAATCCATCATTTAGTAGGTCCTTTGCAGAACGTGACTTTCATCGCTGCCTGAAAGAAACTCTGGTCTCTCGCCAGTTCTCCTGCCTCATGTACATTCATACTCAAGGAGTCACTGATATCCTGTGCCCATCTTCGTGTCGGTCGGTCCCTGCCTCTCCTTCCTGGTACCTTGCCTTCTGCTATAGTTTTTTTCCAATCCGTTGTGGCGCTTAATATGTCTAAAATATTTCAGCTTCCGACAAAGGATGCTGTTTATTAGCCAATCTTCCTTGATGTTCGGATCTTTTAAGATGTCATTGTTTCTCCTCTTCTTTGTCAAGATATAGCTGTCATGTTTTTAAAAAAAGGATGAGTATTCCTATAGTTGAAGAATACTCATCCTTTTTTTCAAAAACATGACAGACATTACTGTCTGGCAAACCTTTTAGTGAGACTGAAGGTTCCGAGTGTGAGTATAACTCCAGCTGCCTATTACTTATGTTTTCTAGTTTGTTATCTGATATTCACCTCTACACCCCTGAGCTTGTCTTTAGCCATTTATAATAGATGATATCATATATATATATGTATATATATATATATATAAAACTCTTTATTATTTCACGTATAATCTTGTAGAATGGGGTAAGTAAACTGCTTTCGTGTGGTGGCAATGTGTGGGGTAATCAGTTATCCTTTCAGCAGTATAATCACTTCCTTTGTCGCAGAGTGTCGTCAGCAGACTTACCATTGATTGCTTTAGCATCAATGCTCTCTTTCCTGGGAGCCTTTTCTCTGATGGACTGACTAGAGGGAAGGCCGTAGAGTAGCAACAAGGCGATTTTTATGAGAGAAATCAACAATCCAGGAATAGTTGGAAACTGAAATAATAGATGCACATGTGTAAATATTACAAAACACATCATTTTCATAAATATTTTCTAATAATAGGAGTCGTGGTAACATAGTGGCTAAAAACTCGTCTGTCGGCCCAAAGATCTTGGGTTTGGCATATAATTAGTCAGATTTTATTTTTCACAATAACCTTGGCTCCCAACTAAAATAGGCTCCGGTTAATCTCCTGGAAAGTCAAGGTGACGTTGACCACATTAGTCAGCGAGTGCTGATTGGTCTATACAAATAATAATCTCAGGTGGTCCTCTCCAGTATTAGCCTCCCGTGAGTTGTGGATTTTTCATGGTATGCGGGAACAGGCTTTCAAAATAATCACCACGCTTTGCTGCACATTGGAACTGATCTTCAAACAATCACCGCACATGTGTCAGTTACTGTACATTATATTTTTAAGGGGTACAGAAATTGTTGGTCAAACAGAGGTCAAAGAAAATGTATTCCTGTTGTGTTCTTTTTCTATGCAGATTTACGTTTAATAGTTTGCCATAGCCTCTGGACAGTACGACGCGTATACTGTTGTCACAGTCAACACACAAGGGTCAAATACCTTCTTCTGCGTTCACCCTTACAAGAGCGTTTGACACATATTTTCTTGTTTTCAGCATTTCGGTCCAACACATCCGATTTCAACAAACACCTGATTAGTTGCCTTTTACGAAATGCTTGTTAGGAGCAGTGGGTCTATTTTCTTTTTCCACATTGGGGCCTCGGAATTCAGGCGGCGAATGTTCAAATTCAAAATCGCCTGCAGTTGACTTCTAAACTCGCAGTATGTCAGGACTGGGAAACCACGTTCGCAACCCCGTAAGCTACAAGAAGACAAATATGAGACAGAAACAAATATGTGTCATACAAACATTGAAATTAACGACGTGGTTTAAAGTATTAACTGTTTTTGACTGAAGGAGTCATGAGAAAATGTATTAAATTATGTGGCTCATAGCTTACACTTTAAAAAAAAAAAAGGGCCTTTTTTATGCTCAATTTTAGGAGAGACTTTTTCAGGATCTGATTAGTAATTGTAACAACAGTTTTATGTACGGCTGTATGACCCAGAATCCTCAAGTAAGAACTAACAAATTGAAAAAAGAGCTGGGAGAGAGCGAAGATACTTTGAAATGCCAGAAATTGCGTGAAATAGAATAGTATATAAAACTGTCAGAAAAAGAAAAAAAAAAACTGGTGCATATCGTGTTTATGATGAGAAGAGGGACGTTGGAAAACAATTTAAACAACATGAAAGTGAAAGCAATTTCGACAGCAGGAAAGTTTAATGAAGACGAGCCATAAGCAGTTCAAGAGGTAAATGTTTTAAATGTTAACTGGAGGAATATCAATAAAACTGATTCAGGTGGAGATCTAGGAAGCCACATGAAGGCTTGCGCAATTGGTAAGCACATGCTTTTGATGATGATGATTAGTAATGATAGTTTAAGACTGTTATGGCACCGGGTTTTATCCCGTATAGCTGGGTCTCTCTCCGCAGAACCACTAGCTGTGTTACAAGATTAGGCAGGCATTTATGGGGAACGCTGCTATAGGCAATAATGATCAAGTTCCTCCTCCCCGTAGCACACAGCTTGGGCAGTAATGTAGAGACCGTGCAGCATGATTCCTGTCTCGGCTTGTTTTGTTAACTCCAAATAAAAAGTAACGCCAATACGTTTGATGGAGAAAAGAAAAAACATGCCGCAGCAGCTGCTGATTCAACAGAGTAGTGCGGTTGTTTGTCCGGCTGTCAGAACTTTTCTTCTAGACCAGACGCCAGCCAAGGCTAAGGACTTGTCCTTATATGACCTGGATGAACTGGACTGTCATTGCTTTTTAAGGTTGAATTTCCGATTTCGGCTCTCCTGTCAACTACGGCCGGTAGACAACAGTAGACGGCCGGTTAGTCGGAGTTCTGTCCCCTGGCTGCAGTGCAATTACGGACTGGAGAAGTCACGAATCAGAAAACACAGTGAGGTCGACATGCCTGGCAGACCCCGCGCTGCGACTCAAATTAGCGACCGCGTTCAATTACCGCTTCTTGCGACGCATTACGGAGTGGAATAGAGGGAGCGAAACAAGTGACATAATTACTGTGTATTGGCGATAGACAGCGTGCAGTGCCCTACTGTCATCACACGGTTAGGGTTTGGTTAGGGTTAGGGTTTGGGTTGCTACTGTGAGTTTGTGCGAAGACGAGATGCGGCGACACTAACCGTAACCCTAACCCACACCCTAAACCTAACCCACACCCTACCCCTACCCCTAACCCAAACCGTAACCGTATGATTATAGCAGGGGAGTGCACGATGTCTATCGCCAACACACAGTAATTATGTCATTTGTTTCGTTCCCTCCTTTCCACTACGTAATTGCACTGCAGCAAGGGGACAGAACTCCGACTAACCTGCCGTCTACTGTTGTCTACCGGCCGTAGTTGAAAGGAAAGCCGAATTTCCTTTTCCTAGGATAAGGACAGCCTCCTCCCCTAGTGGGCACTCTCTCCAAGACTTGTGCCGTAAAATACACTATATCTAATTCTCCTGAAGAAATGTGGACCAAAACATGGAGAGAACTTTCTTCATATTGTATAGAACTTTTCGTACTTCTTTTATGTGTTATGTATCTGATCTTTCTTTGTTTAAGTTAGAACATTTACACCTCTCTTTGCATGTGCCAAGGAAGTGTAATCAAGAAAAAATACTCACATAAATGTTGATATCGTTGACCAGAAATCCATACAGGCACCAAACAGTAACATTCAAGGTTCCTCCACAGAGAAGCGACAGGTCACAGCAGTTTGTAGATTTTGTTTGAATGATGGTATACTTGAAGAGTAAAGAAAATACGACGAAATGTAGATTGCTTGAATATCATTGTATAAAGAACATTAATTCGAAGTACTTTCCAATGGCTTTATTTAAAGAATTCATCAAAGAAACATGAACAGTTGAAGCAGAATTAAACGAAAAGTTCATTTTGAATGAATTATTATGCACCTTGGGTTAATCAAGAAATATCGTAGGCATTTTGTCGAGCACCTCGTGCAGTCTAATGTGGTCCACAAAAGAAAAGAGAATTGTGGTTGCTCCCTGAAGCACGTGTTTACCGCGTTTATTACGTCTGCATCTGTCCGAAATCCGTGGTACCCAGTGGGAACACATCTTCCAATTCCTAATAATATCAAATAATGGAGTCACGGTAGGGCAGTTGTTTGCATATATGCTTAGCAGTAATTGATTGTAATTCTTGTAGAGGTGGGTTGTTTAGATTACATTAGAAAGCAGGTTAACCAAGTCTAAACTGAGTGCCAGGAAAGAAATGAATACCATGAAAACCCTTCGATTTAAACTGTCAAGTCTTAAATGACTTGAAGAATTTGTAAATTTGTGATAATTGACTACCAACCAAGTGAGCATCCTCACTGTGATCCTATTCTGAGGTATTCGAAGGATGCAAGGGTTGGGTACTGTTTGTCTACTGTAACTTTTAAAGAATGACACGATTTTCTCAGTCTAGCAGTATGTTAATGTCTCTGTGTGGTGCTAGACAAGCGTCAGCCTAGCTGTGACAATTATCGGCCCTCTTTTTCTAAGCAGACTAGTATTTTCACAGAATTTTGCATTTCGAGAAAAATGGGAGGTCTCAAGTGCAGTTTTATATGTGTGCTCTGAGATTTTGATTTCTTCTAGACACGCTTCAAAAGCTCCGTGATTTTTATTTTTTGTAATATAGTTATTGAGATGATTTTCAAGAAACGACACCACATCACTCAGGAAATTTCCGTTAGCGCCCTGTCCCCATCTACAGCGAAGACTTCAAGCTTCGATAGCAACAGTAGCAGTCTGACTGCATGTCTGCCTAGCCTTTCCTCTGATTGTGGAGTGTCGGCCAGAGTCCCTTATCAGTCCCTGCTGCACCATTAGCTTCAATCCGTGATGAACTTATTGTCCCTCCGCACTGTTCACTTGCCCCTAGAGGGCCTTGATAGGCTTATAATCTGATATCCGGACCAAGCTCACTTTTAGCTGTGACTGACTGACTCTATTTGGAAGTATATCAGCGAGCCTCACAATATGACAAACAAAACGTGATCGCTGCGGCTATGGAGCCTTCTTCAGCACATACATAGATTAGACAATACTACTCAAATACCTGGAAGTGAAATGAGGTCTCTGATGGGTGAGAATAGACTCCGATGCTGTAACAGTAGCACACCTACAGCCCGAATACAGCCAATACAGTTTGGAATTTTATATATCAATGTAAATGTGTGTTTTCTGATACTGTCTGTAACAAAAATATTAAATAACACTATTACGGTGTCTATATACGTTTACTTACAATTTCTCCAGCCGGGACGATAGAGATGATTAAGCACCAGACCATCATGTATTTGCCAACTGTAGAAAGGTGGTCAGTCGACGGCAGAGTGGACAGATAATACAAGTGTGCCAGGTACAACCCAATAACAGCGAGTAACCTAAACAGGGGCTGGCTCTAAGAACACAAATAAAATATTGTTTCAATGCAGTGGAACCTCATGATACGAATGCAATCCATTCCGGGACAGCTCGTACTCATATTCTTACACTATTTATCTCTTTACAAGTAATTTTACTTTTAATTCGTTCCATTCCTAAAAAAGGCAAAATGCTTTTTTTTTTTTTTTTTTCAACTGGCAAAATGGCATGGCACTGCTTTTATATTTTGGCCTGCAGCGAAAAAAAATCAGGATTGTTTTCGACCATGATGCTACAGTCCATCATCATCAAGTGCCTTGTCGACTAACTTCAGTCCTAATTGGGCAATGTTAATGTGACCATATCTGTTTAAAAAAAATTATCGGGATGCTGTGGGGTAAAGCCGAGAAGGAGGTAGAGCACTGGGTAGACCAAGAACAAGATAACACAAGAGAGACTCTAAAACCGCGCCATGTTTTTACGGTCGAGTCGGCCAGACGAGCAAAAAGCAGAACTTATATCTTTCTGGACATCTGAAGCGGTAAAAGAGGTAATGAAGAAGAAGTTTGCCATTGCTTCCTGAACGGCTCAAAGATTATACCGTTGTTGAAATCCACACAAAGAAGTCTGCTGTCGAATTGTCTACAGTTCATACTACAGACGCCATCTGTTGATTTATGCGTCGTTATTCTGCTACTACCACCTCTATTGCGTATCATATACATATACACTAAACAAGTAGACTATTGATTAGCACGCCTGGCTTCGTAACTATACTATAGTCCACATATTTTCAAGAAATCATCAGGCTATCTTGCTGGACACAGAACTCAAACAGTTCAAATACACTTTTTCTTCATTATCATGACTGAGAAAGAATAGAAATGTATAAAAACATGGCACACAATATACCTTAGGGCTGCTGACTAAGATGAAGATGGCAGTATAGGCTCCCCAGACAACCACACCAGCAAGATTAATGAGTATTAGCAATTTGTTGCCCATCAAGATTCCATACTGGAGACCCAGGAGGCTCCTGCAAAATGTGCAATAATGTTTCATTAAATTTTTAAACAATCTAATAGAAATCTATTTGTAATCTGGTAATCTGGTAATTTGGTAATTTTAATTTCAGCTTAATAGCAAACGGGTCACTTCATCTTTGCTCCGCTCCTGTGCCAACGAAAAACACACATAATGTTTATCACAGTCCCTTGTGGAAAGACTGACAAACTGCTCTCTCAGCAAATCTAGCATACACTCGCATTAAAAGCATATGGTAGCCATCCGAAGTGCTAACAGAAACAGTCCAACGTTAGAAATGCAGTTCATCATTGATGGAAGCAGAAGTCATTAAAAGATTAGCTGTTGCACACGCGATCAATTTTAATCAAGTAATGGCCCCACCAATATTGCGACAACCGGCATTGCGCCATTTTCTGAATCTACAAATCACACCACCACGTTGGTCAGCCGAAAAACATTCCAAATGAAATCCGCAGCTCACAGTGTCACGCCATGCACTCAACTCAGAGGCTGGGCAACGAAACTATATACTTCCAGTCTACAAATGGAGCAAAAAGACAACGGCCACAGTCTGGCAGAAACAAAAATGTTTGCCCCGGCTCAAAACAGTGGCAGTGCCTAGTGTCCATTTGGACCTGACGCATTATGTGAGGGCTAATAAATGGTCACCCCAGCAGTACCCTCACTATTAGCTGGGGAAGGGATTTAGAACATTACATCCACCAGCAAGCGTCGCCCCTACAACGACCTGACAGCCTTCGTTAACGACTGTTCACCCAACAGCCATGCAGTTCTTTGGCACGAAGGAGACACCTTGAACTTGGGTTTCGGACTGCTGACTCCCTACACGAAGATATATGTGTGCTACTGGTGTCCCGTAGCCAAAATACTATCTCACTGTATTACTAAAATTCAGGACTGCCGTAAAAAGGTGCACCCAAGGGACGGTTTCAGAAAGAAATGCATACTTGTGGTAGGGTAACATTGCTTGTAAAATGTATTCTGCAAGCCATCGGGGGTTGCATTCACATTTTCTAGGTTCTAACAATAGTAATACACTAGCGATGACTAATAATAATCATTACCCGCTCAGCCAATACATACATAAATCGGCCTAGACAGAAAGAGAGAGATGGAGAGAGAGAGAGAGAGAGAGAGAGAGAGAGAGAGAGAGAGAGAGAGAGAGAGAGAGAGAGAGAGAGAGAGAGGGATCACCGCATAGCTAATTACAGCAAATGTATAGCGCTGATTGAGTCTTCTGTTTCGATATCCAAACGTGCTTGTTGTCAACAAACATTTTTTGCGTGCATCGATCAAGACCTGAGAACAGAAAATCAAGTGCTGTGTCTCTACATTCATTTCTAGGTGGCCACGGGGTCACAGATGGACCTGTTGTAGCCTGCAGGTAAATTGGGTGCTTAGAGAATGTCGTGTTCTCAGGTGTATCTGGTGTTGCCTGATGAGATGTCATCGCCAAGAAAGGTCAAATATTCAAAAGAAGAGAATTCTGAGTGTCTGTAATTATTTCTTCTTCCATTCGTGAACCCGCCTGCGTCAGAACAAATGTTGCTCCATTAAACGGCGTCTAGGTGTCCGAAGGAGCGGTTGATGGCCTGGTGTTCAAACACTGGTGTAAGATTTATTGTCCATTTTCTGTCTCACACAGATAGTAGCGGGCAAGTCGCCTTGAAAATCTATTTGTAGAATCGTCTGGCTGAGCCTTAGACATATTTGCTTTTTTTAAATAGTGTGTCGCCTCCGCAGTGGAGGTTGGCTATAGTTTATCGACTGTTGTCTTTTTTTTTGTATATTTTTTTTTCTATCCTTCCGCCTCCCCCCCCCCCCCTTTCCCAGTAGAACAGAGGTCCTCTACGAACTCACAACAATTTGTCCTTTTGCTGTTGAATTTTAGCTAACCCCTTCCCCCCCCCCCCCCCCCATTTTCGATTACAGTTCAAAGAGGAGTACCAGGAAATGTTTTGGGAAGTAAAGACTGCTGACGTGATACCGAACGCATCCTACTTACTGTGATAGCCGGACAAGCCATAACCAGGCTGATATACTGAATGCACTAAGAGAGTTAAGACGTTTGCGTGAACCAACTGAGAACTGTGAATCTGCAACCATGGTCAGACTGCAAGAACAACATGTTAAACGGTGCGTCGCCAAACAATAACACTACTCGGGTAGCCAAAGAAGAAGAATAAACCAATACAGAACTGATGTCGTTAGCCGCTACACGCTGCGGGATTTACTGAGGAGGGGATCTAAGCACTTATGGACTGAGTGGTTCGGCGTGCAATGAGGATAATCTGTCGACTAACTAACTAACTAACTATTCTGTCCGTCTATATCTTTACAGAAACGCCACCTGGTGGATTCAGAACGAACGAACGAACAAGCTTTATTTTCAAAGGGGTCACAAATTGGGCGCGCAGGCCCTTCCAAACATCCATATTCTACACAGCAGTTATATTTTACCAATAAAGCATGTTATGTTCATTTCACAAAATAAATATCAAGAAAAAAATACAAAGGCGTGAATGATAAAATACACACACACACACACCCACCCACTCACGTACTCCTCACTCATTTACACACATACACACACACACACACACACACACACACACACACACATATATATATATATATATATGTATATATATGTATATATATATATATATATATATATATATATATATACATATATATACATAAACATAAGCAGATCAAGGTGAAAGTCAACGCTTAGAGAATGGGCAACATGAGCATGTAAATTAAAACCTCGTTATCAGACAGTTACTGGTACCTTCAGAATTGGAACTATTCGCTTGTTGCTAAAGATGGGAACAATGTCTGATTGTATATCCGTCTCGCCTTTTCCTTGAGTGTTGAGCATCGACCAGATCCCCTAGCAACTCTTCGCAGCGCCATTCTTCTCAGACCGTAATGATCTATTTGCGTTTCCGCATTGTTCACTCGCTCTCAGAGGGACCCTAACAAAATCTAGCTTGTCATACATCAGTTCACCACCAAGTGGTGCAGAACCGACCAGTTTAACTGCCTGCTCATTTCCCAACACGCCGGCATAAACCCGAGAGATAATATCCAAAAGATGCTAACTACCCAGGTTCTCTGAAGTGATGCTTGACACTCTGCACGGAGCTTACCTGTCTCCACGTTTCTCAACATGCTCTGTGAGTCAGTTACAATCACTGCATGTGTGTACAGCTGATTCTCAAGCCAGCGGAATGCAGCAGTGACTGCCTCCACCTCCATTCTTAAACTAGACGTTGTAATTTGATGAAAGGAAATACACACAAACACTCATCATTTTGTTACAATCACCAACAAATAAAACTTACAGAAAAACTGATATCAAGAAAAGAATGTATGGAACATTTTCTGTACTTCTTCTCTTGTACATATTCAAACATATAGGCCTGTATTCAGAAAGAAAGAAAAACATCATAAATACAATTTGTTCAAGTAGTCAAATGGGTTAGCAAACTTTTTTTTAAGTTGATGGTATTCCTTTACATTAGTAACATGCATACAACATCACAAAAATCTGGTCTGCAGACTACAAAAAGCGGTTCTGAAATAAGGTCAAGGACATTCTCCAACGTCACGCTGAAACGCTAAGTTCAGGAAAGTAAGCAAAAACGGACGACCATAATGCATGTGTTCTTCTTATTTTTCTCGTCTTTCTAATCTTCTTCTTCTTCTTCTTCTTCTTCTTCTTCTTCTTCTTCTTCTTCTTCTTCTTCTTCTTCTTCTTCTTCTTCTTCTTCTTCTTCTTCTTCTTCTTCTTCTTCTTCTTCTTCTTCTTCTTCTTCTTCTTCTTCTTCTTCTTCTTCTTCTTCTTCTTCTTCTTCTTCTTCTTCTTCTTCTTCTTCTTCTTTCTTCTTCTTCTTCTTCTTCTTCTTCTTCTTCTTCTTCTTCTTCTTCTTCTTCTTCTTCTTCTTCTTCTTCTTCTTCTTCTTCTTCTTTCTTCTTCTTCTTCTTCTTCTTCTTCTTCTTCTTCTTCTTCTTCTTCTTCTTTTTCTTCTTCTTCTTCTTCTTCTTCTTCTTTTCTTCTTCTTCTTCTTCTTCTTCTTCTTCTTCTTCTTCTTCTTCTTCTTCTTCTTCTTCTTCTTCTTCTTCTTCTTCTTCTTTCTTCTTCTTCTTCTTCTTCTTCTTCTTCTTCTTCTTCTTCTTCTTCTTCTTCTTCTTCTTCTTCTCTTCTTCTTCTTCTTTTTCTTCTTCTCTTCTTCTTCTTCTTCTTCTTCTTCTTCTTCTTCTTCTTCTTCTTCTTCTTCTTCTTCTTCTTCTTCTTTCTTCTTTCTTCTTCTTCTTCTTCTTCTTCTTCTGCAGAGACTACTATTACAGCTTCCCGTTCTAGTATTATTGAAAATTTTCATTTTTTTTTAAATTGTGGCTAATAAAAAGAATGGGGTTTGCAGGTCTTATCTAATTGAGAATCACTGTCTCGCAATGATATGTTTAGCTGTTTGCTCTGCCTGTCAGTTCAGGGATGACAAGGCACTTTTTCAGCCTGGAAATGACTGTTAGATTTGTCATGTCCGGCTCTGGTGTAGAATAGGATACGCTGGTTTGCTATGCCAAGATATTAATAGTTGTTGTTTCGTTGGTTAATTTTTTTTTTAAACAGACTTGATGATGTTCATCTTTTCCTAGAAACTGATTGCTTTTTCTATTTGTTGCTCTTTCTATAGCTAAACATTTGCTCTTTTGTTTTCGAGCATGCAGTAACGGCTAGACGGTTGCTTGCGGATCCGAAGCTCGGGGTACCAAGGAAGAATCTAAACTGTGCTAAACTGTTTTTGTTCTTCCTCAACAATGACTATGGCTCTCTTGTCGAAACATCCTTTAATGGGTACCAGGTAAACATCCTTTAATGGGTACCAGATAAACATCCTTTAATGGGTACCAGATAAACATCCTTTAATGGGTACCAGGTAAACATCCTTTAATGGGTACCAGGTAAACATCCTTTAATGGGTACCAGATAAACATCCTTTAATGGGTACCAGGTAAACATCCTTTAATGGGTACCAGGTAAACATCCTGGTAGGTAAAGGCTGCTAGCGTGATGCTGACCACATCACCCACCAAGTACCGATAGGTTTATAAAATTTAGGCCTAGCCCTGTATGCGGGGAAAGGGTCCTATATTTTTACTTGAATAGTGAGCAGCTCTCAGGGCAGATGTTGTTTTAGTAAGAATGACAACTTCACACTTAACGGTTAGTGTTCAGACAGGGTGAGTATCAGTCTTGTTGGTAAGGCTATTGCAGAAAGAGGACCAGCACAGGAATAGCTAATATACAAAAACCATCAAGTTAGTGAGAACACTGCAGCAAGTGATTACCGGATCTGCAACCGTGACGAGCTGGGAAGAACTGTCACAACTGTCTGTATACTTTTTAGTGCGGTGTAGACACGGGGTCGTAAGCCTGAGAATTTAGGGAGCCTATATATTCAAAGTTTGTGACATTTAAAATTTCTTCAATGTTTATTATCATTATTTTCATAATTATTATTGTTATTATTATTATTATTGGGGGAGGGGGGTGTCAGGCAGTTTTATCATGGAAAATTATATTTGTATTCTTTAAATTCGTGAACAGGTTTTGATCTTTTCTGTTCTTTAGGACAGACATAGCTAAATGTTTTATTCCATTTACACACTGTTCGAAATGAGGACTGTGTCATCTACATAGCAAAGATTAAGGAACAGGACTGTTGCCGTCGATTATATGTGATTTAAAGCCGCTTTTACACACATGCGTGTGAGTGTTTATGTGTATTTATGTCTGATTTTCTCTACAAAAAAAAAAAAAAAGCAAATCTCTGGAGGCAATAAAGCGAATTACTGAAACCACAGTGTTGAATACCTTATGCCAATATTCCTGTTCTGAGCGATATTGTCATTAAAAATGAGAATCGTTAAATGTTATGTACACTCAACCCTTTTGTGTGGTGTTTTCATTTAGTAGGCCCAGGTTATAATCCACGGTAATGTATATGTGTGTAAATGTGACCGTGTGCGTGTAAATGTGTTGTCTTTCCATGCCTAAAACACTTCTGATGCAGCAAACACTTAAACTATGTTACAAATATAAACACTTACAATCCAGAGCCCATCATGACAAAGGCAACCAAAACTGTGGAGGCTTCAACAACTGTCAACAAATCTGGGACAAAATCTAACGCCATTGTTGGAGACTGGAGCGAAAGATCTGCTGGTGATTTCCTGTGAAAGTTAGGGATAAAAGGAATTTTCAACGAGTTAAAGCATCTTAAAATTTTGAGTATTGGTTAGAGAGTAGCAGTTGTAGTTCACACGATATCCTGTTCAGCTCATCTGGGTTTTTACTGGGAATATATAGATTTTTATTTCGGCCCTGTTATGAAAAGAGGGAAAATAGAACATGTTGTGACCACTGGAAAGATCTGTGGAAGGAGGGATACAGGAAGACAACCAGAGAAGATTCTTGACAGTCTTTTTGCAAGGCATGGAGGTGTGTCGGCACACGAACTAATACATGCTGCAGGAGATCGCAGATTGTGGAGAGGCATGATCACCCACGCCAGTCGGCAAGGCACCCGATGATGATGATGATATATATAGCTTTTTTTTTTCTTTGTCAGTATTGGGATGTTTATGTTTGTGAATTATATTACCAATAGGTGTAAGTACAGACAAATGGCATTGAAACCAGGGAGGCAAACAATTCACTAGAAAACAATAAGGCAGCAAGTGATAATAATATTACTACAGAAATGCTCAAGGCAGCAGGTGATGTAACCATAAACCGAGTTAAACATTTGTTAAATAGAATATGGGCAAAGTGAAAAAAAAAAATTTCAATTCAAAATCAATGGAAGAAAGGAATAATGTTAAAACTTCAAATAAAGGTAATTTCACTGACCCTAAAACTGAAGAGGAATTACTCTGTTATCGGTAATGTCCGCTTAATTTTCGAAAGATAATACTCAATATAATTAAAGCGGTAGTGGACAAAATCCTGAGAGCGGAACTAGTAGGTTTTCGACTTGGAATAAAAACAACAAACCTCTTTTTTTGAATATCATCGACTTTGAAAAGGCCTCTGAAAACTTACACAGAACATCTCTATAGAAAATACTGGAATGTTGTGGTACATCAGGGTACGCCAATGAAAACAATAAAATAATAAAATAATAATAAGGCAATGTATGAAGGTTCAGAGTGTGCTGTGCGAACAGATGATGGTTTGAGTGATTTGTCTGAAGTTGAAACTGGAGTGCAAGAGGGATGAATAACCATTGACTGGGTGTTTGAAAATATGTTGTGTTTGTTGGAAACATCAACATTGACTAGGCGGAGAAGACACAGTAGGACGGTCCTGATGTTGCTGATAGTATCGTTCTGCTAAGAAAAACAACAATAAGAGGCAAAGAAAAAACAAAAACTTATCAAATTAAGGTTGGACTACAAATAAGTTATGAAAAGACAATTATATTGACGATGCTAATAACTGATCAAACAGATGTAACACTAGGGACAAAAGTATTTCAAGTGGCAGATTAATTTACTTATTTAGGTAGTAACTTGATAGAAAGAAATACAAAGAAAGAAATTATGACATGCACTAGCAAGGAATCGGCAGCTTCTAAAAAAAATCTGAACAAAATCTGGAACTCTAAAATTGTAAAGTTTTAAAACCAAGTTACGTATTTTCAATTCTAATGTTATTTTAATTTTAACATTTGCTAGTAAAAGTTGGAGAACTAATAAAGTCATGTAACAAAAATTTAATGCATTCGAAAACAAATTCCTGAGCAAGATTTTCAACATAAAAATGGATGATTTCAAAAAGGGGTGAAGAAATGAGAAAAATTTCTTGGAAACTAATAGTATCAACAGTTACAAGACAGAGAAGATGTCGCTATATTGGACACATCCTGAGAATAAGTTGAGTTGAGTTGAGTCAAGAATTGACATCACAGCACTCGGGGCATTCCCATACATGCTCCATCCTCATCTTCAGCAGCCAGCGCAGAGTTCTAATGCTGATGGTACCGGTCACAATCTGATTATATGTCCGGCTTGCCTATCCTCTGAGTGTAGTGGGCCGGCCAGACCATCTGGTTACTCCAGGTGCCTCATTCTCACCAGGCCATAATAATCTTCTTTCTCTACTATTCCGTTTCTTGTTCCCAAAGGGCCTTGACCACATTTACCTTGTCGTGTATCAATTCACCATCCAGTGGTGCAGATCCAGCCAGTCTGTCTACCTGTTCCTTACTTTCTACGCCAACATAGCCTGGAGAAAAGATCCAAAGTACGCTCACCACCCGTGACCTTTCCACTGAAGCTAGCCACTCTGCTCGAAGCATCCTTGTCTTCACATTTCTCAGCTTACCTTCAGAGTCTGTTACACTTACGACACATGTATACATCTTGTTCTCTGGCCAACGGAGAGCTGCAGTTATCGATTCCGCCTCCTTTCTCGTGCTAGATATTGTGGTATCATATGTTGGTTGTCTTGCACTAAAGATTTTCTATTGGCTCTTGCTACGAACTCCTATGCACTTCTCTTTCCTCTCAACACTGAACCATCTGTATAGATAATCAGATCACCTGCGCGTGAATTGTCGTGAATCAACTGTTGGACTTCCACCTCCGTAGCACCCGCTGGCCACTTTCTGCACTCCCATAAATCTACACAGTTCACACCCTTATCTGCAGCCTCTTCTTCACGTTCTCAGCAGCATACATGTCTTATTGTTCTTTGTCTGAGATCCACGATTTCCATTTTTTTAGACAGACCCTGCAGCAAAGCCATTAAGCTTATCTAATTTCAATAGTCTGCAGCACCTTTGCCAAAAGTGTAATGCAAGAATGTAGTGCAGCACACGATCGGGTGTCTCTTGTTGTACATCCCAGGATAACTTGAGAATAAATAATTCGAGAATCACTAACGGGCATCAACATGGGAAATAAATGGATTATGGAGGCGAGGACGCCCAAAGGAAACCTTTAAAACGGACGTTGATGAGAGAAGCAAAAGGTGCTGTACTGGATTCCATAACTGACTGTCCACATCAGAAAGAGACAATCTACATTCTTTGGTCACGTGATGAGAAGGTGAAAACTGGTGTACATCGTGACAATAGGAAAGCTGGACGAAAGGAGAGGCAGAGGTAGACCGAGAGAAACCAGATGCTAGGCAGTTTGGCTTGGAGGTTAATCTGTGTCAGAGTTTATTAAAAGTACACGAGACAGATGTTTGTGAATAGACATGACTACCAACGCAACACGACAGGGACTTTAAAAAGAAAGATTATGTCCTAAGTTGTATTGACATCTTTTGCAAGTGTGAGTATTACCACGTAAGGACTAAATAATATAGCTCCGTTTTAAAAAAGTATCTATTTTTTTTTCTTCGAAACACCTAAATTATTTTAAAATAATAACAGTCAAAATGGTGTTGTTGACAATTATGTAACGTTTCTTCAGATAATGCTGTTGAGACCGTTCTCGTTTTATTTGCTTTGCGTGCTTAATCCTGCAACAAATATTTGACTGTCATTTTGTCAGTTCCATAATAACATTTGTCAGTAGCTCTTAACGCCGGCTTGTTGAGAAACGGTGCATCAGGCAGGTTGGTGGGGGTCTGAAGATTACTTATGTTCACCTATCATGTTCACCTATTTATCAGCTGGTATTGTGTTTTAGGCTTTTGATAACCTCTAGTGGAGATGAATGCTACTGAAATAATACAGAAGGCAAATATACGTAAAATGTAATGAGGCACTTGATAATTAAAAGAGCTCCTCAATCCTATAAGACGTATTTGGTAAATGGTGTCAGTACCAGTCTCACATGTTAGCCTATAGCTAATAGGTAGGGGATGTAGTCACATTTATGTAGACCGCCTTTACATTCCAAACAGTTTCCTGGTACCCATACCTGGCTTGACTCCCATCACCCGAAGACACGCATTCCGTATTAAATGCGCCTCATTAGCTGCCACTGTCATTACTGTCTGTACTATCAACTTTTGTGGTGTCTGCGGGGGGTCTTTGAGTCTGGGGATTTATGACTGCATGGCTTGTGCTGTCACCACGGACGGTACAAGTTCGGATTTTATCCCCTCCCCCATCCCCTTTACCCAGGGAAAAACCCACATCCTCACCGAGGATCCGAACTCTGTTTCCTGCTTGAGAACCCAGCATCGGTCAGCTGCTCTGCAACTCCACTGGTGATAGATAAAAACTGATATTAACTTTCCATCTGAACAATGCGGGTACTTCGAAATTATTCCATCGCCACTTGAGAATCCTCCTCTCTAATTCAGTCACCGGAGGATTTTTAATGAGAAACTCAGAGTAGGCCACAGGAGAGACCGTAATATAAAAAAATATACTAGTCAGAAGCAGATTAATTCCTATTCACAAAGCACTTCCATTTGAGAATGCTGAATGCTCCCATACTAGGTAAAATGACATTGACTGCCAGGTCGACCCAGTCTTGAGTGGGTAACGAGTGCAGTCCCGAGAAGTAAAGGCGGCCGGCATGATGCTGACCACATCACCCATCTTGTGCCGAATGGTCTATAAAACTATAGGCCTAAAGGCATGGAAAATGGACCTTTACTTTTACTTTACGTACTAGGTGCATAACATACAAAGTCCATTCGTTATCCAGACCTCATCGGTCATTTTCCTGAATGGTCCATTCCAGATTAGGAACCATTTACTTGTGAAATCCGAAACTTAATATATACTATCATTTATAAAGATGCAAAATAGGCTGGTATTGGAGGAACCGGCGGGATGGACTCTGAACATCTTTGTGATAGTCACTAAGGAGCACCAAAATCGGTCTCTCTCCATTTCAATAGTTCCGACCAAATAGGCAAACACGATATCTCGATCATCACCATTGTCTGGATAATTTTTCCGAGTGATGCCGGTGTGTTGGGAAATGAACAGGGGGACAGACTGGCTGGCTCTGCACAACTTCGTGGAATACTGATACATGATAATGCAGACGTGGTTAGGGTCTTGTGGGAGAACGTGTACAGTTCGGAGAAGCAAATGGATCACCACCGTCTTGTGAGGTTGATGCAGGGAGGAGTGACGATGGGATCTGGCTGATCCTCGATGCTCAGAGGAAAGGCAAGACAGGCGTATATTCAGAATGCTACTGGCACCATTTCTTTTGC